AAGTCAAATTAGGTTTGATAATAAAAAAGTACAATGGTTTAAATATTTTGTATATATATATTTTTTAGTTTGATGCAACGATCTTTTAAATTCATGACAATTACACTATTACAAATAAAATTTGTTTTTGAATCGCTAGACCAAAGAATATTGATAGTAAAACCCAAAAAAAGAAAATTGACCACTGACAAAACTTGACTTAACATAATTCATATATATAGTAAAAATTAAATATTAATTTTCTAATACTATAACAAAGTGTATCCGTTCTAATTCCTAAATAAAACTTGAACTATGTAAAGTGAAACCTCGTAATTTAGGAAACTCGCATTAGTCTTTAATAATTTTTGTTTTCACATTACTCTGTCTAAAAATCATAAATAATAAAAAATTATTTTCGAGTACAAAATAAAAATAGAATCTTAATTAAATATTTTATATTACCAACTATTTAGAAATCAGATAAAAATTAGCAAAGGTTTTAGTGCATCATGAAGAAAAGGAGCTCCCAAAGGACTAGAAAAAACATGATATGACATTAGAAGGTCCAAAGTTTAATAAGGGTGGTTTAGTAGACTAGAACGGGCCGTTCCCAACCCGGAACGGGCCGTTTCAAATTACTAAAAAGGCTCTTAAATCCTAGTCTGGAACAGTCGTTCCAATTAAATTTGTTATGAATAAATTTCAACTTCGGACCGGGCCGTTTCCAGTCCCGAACGGCCTGTTCCCAGTCCCGAACGGCCCGTTCCTAGACTAGAACGGCCCGTTCCAAGTTGAACTCATTACAGATTGGTCTAGAACAGTCAATTCCGACGTAGTTTATTATGGGTAAAATGCATATCCAGAACGGGCCGTTTTGAATCCGGAACAGCCCGTTCCAGGTTGAAATGTAACTCATTATAGATTGGTTTAAAACAAGCAGTTCCGACGTAGTTTATTATGAGTAAAACGCATATGCAGAACGGGCTGTTCTGAATCTAGAACAGCCCGTTCTAGTTTCAAATTTAACATATAGCAACATGTATCAGAACGAGCCGTTCAGTAACCGAAACGGGCCGTTCTGGCCTTATCTGGTGTCTATAAATAGAAGTCTCATGCATTATTTTGGAGGTTGAAAAAATTAGTTCAGAATCCCTTATAGCTCAAAATTTTTCTCTCTTCTTTCTATTGTATATTTTGAGATTTTGTGATGTTTATGTAGTGTGTTGGGCTGTCGAAAAACACCTAAGAGTTCCTTAGTTGAATGAAGACTCGATAAAGCTCGTTAAAGAGGTATTTCAGTCAACTCTTTACTCTTTCTTTTATTTCCTTGTTTTAAGCATGTAAATAAATATTAATAAAAGGGTTAATATATTTAATTTTTTAATTCTTATCACTTTAACTTCATCATAGAATACTATTGAGGGCGTTATAGGAGTGCTTAATATCTTTCTCACACGTAACCGATCTCTGAACCCAATTTTTGGTTATTAAGGCCATCATTGAATTTTCAAAACCTTTTTTTTTTCTCAATGTTTTCCAAAACCTTATTTTCATAATTATTAATTAAGAATTAGTCTGATCTCTGAATATTTTTTAATTGATGAGATTTTCAAAAGAAACTTAAACCATTTAGTCACAAGATCGGAATTTTCTAGGTTGTGAAAGTGGGCCAATTCACTTGGTAGCTTTTCTTGTTCCTTTTGGATAGTATCAAGGTTACCCATATTCAACATTAAGTCTGGTGGATCTGGCTCTTCCAAAAAGTGCAACTTGTTCAGGGCTAAGGCTTCCATGTGCATGGCGTTATGGAAGCCATGCCCCTAGTTGTGCAAAAAGCTTTGTTCCTTGCTACGTACTAAGACCAGCTCCTTAAAGAATGGACCAAGTTTTTGATTTTGATTTGAATCAATTTGTCGATATGACTCATAAATAATATTATTAGACGTTAAGGGTCTCACCATTTTGATCTTATTAGGTGCACTTTGCAACATGAAAAGTTCTTGAGCCTTTACCACCATGTGGTCTTTTATTTTTATTAGCATGAGCATTAATGTGTGTGGCATTTGCTCCCTCTTGCCCACATGAATTCTATTAGAATTATAGCACCTTCGAAGAATTAGGTGCCATTTTGCCTAATACAAAAAATTTATTACGGCTCAATTTGATTCCACATGGGCTTTTACATTCAACATTATCAAATTGAGAATATACCAAAGGATTATAACCTTTATTTCTGTTCTGATTCATTTTTTTCAAAACCAACCAATCCCCATACATATTCTTTTCACCTTGATTTCTCCAAGATCCCTCTCATCTTGCACAACTAACTAAGGGTTAGTGGGATTTATTGGTGTAACAGACTCTGTCATCTCTGATTTTCCTTTTGGCATCGAACTAGCCTTTGGCCCCTTGACCTAACAAGACCCTATTGTATGCCCATATAACCCATAATGCTTGCAAATTGAATGCAAATCCTCATACTCAACATGAAACCAGTGATTTTGAAACCAAAATGGATCAATCTCAACACAAACCTTGGCAAATTTACCTCGAGACTAGGGATGGCAATGGGGTCCCAATAGGGCGGGTAATAGTAAACCCACCCCCACCCTGCTGGATGAAAATTGGCCCCATACCCATCCCATATCTGCGCGGGTATCCATTAAACGAGTATCCATGAATTTCTTGAATACCCACGAATATCCATGGATATTTATAATTTTTTTAAGAAATTAAAAAAATTATATTACAAATAATTTTAAGTTTATATTTAATGTCATTGAAATGTTAAAAATAAAAATTCAATGTTAATTTTGAACTTCTATTTAACATTAATTTTGTTGAAATAATAATAAAAATTTAAGATAATCAATAACTTAAAATACATCAATCTCACACAAGTAAGTGAAAGTCTCATATCACAAAGTTACGATAATTCAATCTCATAATTCCAAACGAAAGTAAACAACTTAAAATACATAAATCTTATTGGTCCAATCAAAGTTAGAAAATTAATCAAATTACATCCAACATAATTCTATGGAAAGAAATAATATGAGAGTGTAGTTTTAGGGTTATGTGGTACAAGAATAATTAGGATATTTAAGAAATATTATTAAATGGATACCCGCGGGTATGGATATCATCATACCTGCCCCCGCCCCGTTTATAAATGGGTAAGAAATTATCCGTCTCCATTATTCGCGGATACTCAATTAGCCTATTCATTTATTATTCGTAGCAGATTTTACCCGCAAATACCCGCGGGTGCGAGTATTTTTGCCATCCCTACTCGAGACGCCATCAAAGTAGCCAAGTCCATACGATTGCCAAGGCCATCAAGACACTTTCATCATAAAATTTCAGTCCCAAATAAGGGAACCTAATTCACACAAGAGTATGATCAATCTTTTCTTTAGAAGCCACAAAGTCCGAAGCCTATCCAACTGTCAAGTGATGATAAAAAATCATTCATTGACCACCATCCATCACTTTATCTCTATCATAGCAGAGTTAAACTTGACCATTAAGAATCCATGTCTCATGTCCACCATATCAAATCCACAAGAGGGCTTCCAAGTAGGGATGAAAAATAAACCCGTACCCATGGGTAATACCCGAACCCGTCCCGACTTTGACGGGGAATACCCGGTTTGACCGGGTACGGGGACGGGTATAGGTATGACACCATACCCGTACCCGTACCCGTACCCGATTTAATTATATTAAAAAAATTTAACATTTTATTATATGTAATTATTTATTATAATGTGAAATATTTATAGTTGTATAATTATTAAGAAATCTCTTGATTAAAATATGAGATAAAGAAATAATCTAATTATAATTATAATATAATAGAAAAATAATTTAAAAATATTATATATATATATATTTTTTTTTGCAAAAAAAAATAATTTTTTACGAGTACGAGTACGGATATACCCGATACCCGACGGGGACGGGGATGGGGATAAAAATCACATACCCGGAGGGTACGGGTACGGGTACGGGGATGGGTTTATGTCGCGGGGACGGGGACGGGGATCATAAAACCCGTACCCGACCCGCCCCGTTGCCATCCCTCCTTCCAAGTAGTCTGAAGACGATCCTTCATAATTGGGTAACCAACTGTTTTTCCCAAGAGTTTAATTATCATTACATCCTTTCATGGTACCTACAACTCATGAAAAATTGTATCATCAAGAAAACACTTGGGATGAAGCCCACACTCTCCTCCAATTCAACCTTAAACACAGTAAGACTAATGAGGTCCTTCTTCGCTCGTTGTGGCAGGTTTCTGAACCCCCATCATCTTATCGTGAAACTAGATCTTCGAGGTTGTAAAGGAACCACCACCATCAGGTGGTTTGCGTGGCAACGTAGTTTGGTTTTTCTCCCTCCTCCATCACGTAACCCCTCCATCACTTAACTTAGTTACTTGCCTTTTTATTATTTAAATTGGAAAATACAAATTTTAATTTTAAAGACAAAAACATCCCTTAATATTTTTTTCTGTAACAAAGATTTAAATTAGGACGATTGATATAAGATCAAAGTCAACCACTAATTTTTTAAAATATTATTAGTAAAATTATGAATCCTTTATTTTATCTCTATCATTAAATATTCATGAATGAATAAAAATACCTTAAAATTAAAGAGAAAACTATATTTAAATTTAAAAATCATGATTATAAATAAAAAATAAAATGTTGTATTATTGTTATGTACGATCAACATAGTAATGGTGAAGATAAAATATACCTAATCACATATTTAAAGAAGTATACACATATTCTTATGTTCAAAGTGTAATCATTATAGTTTTGTTATATAAGAAAAAGTTATCGTTGTTGGTTTTTTTTTTACTAATTGATCTTTTAAGCGTAACGCAAGTTTTTGGTGTGAAACTTGTGTATGGATGACATCAATAGTATTGTTACTGGTAAGAGAAGAGAGGTTCCTTTCATTTTCTGCTCTGTCACCAACTACCTTCGACGAACTTTTCGCTAAGGATGGAAGTGGCACCCAAAATCGCTCCTTCGATGCTCTCTTTTGACTTCGCGAATTTGGCTTCCGAGGCCTATCGCATGCTTAACCTCGGTGCCGATTGGCTCCACATGGACATCATGGTAACCAATGTCTCTGATTCACCATTTTTTTTCCCATATTCATATATACTTGCTCATATTTTTCATTTTTCCTTCATTTGCAGGATGGGTAATGACCTCGCCTCTTGCTTTGCTTCTGCTGTAATTGTCCTCAGATTGTTGCCATTACTTCCAAATTTAATGAGTTTTTATGTTGCATTTCTGTTTATTCCCTTTTCTTGTGTTGTTTGGTGAATCTAGAAATATCTCTTTAGGAGAAAAAAAAAGTAGGTAGGAAAAATTTAGGTAAAACTAGCTCATGCATGAGTATCTTTATGGAGAAATTAATAAACTAACATGAGAAAATATCTTTAGGAGAAAAAAAAAAAGATTTTTAGGAAAAATGGAAAAAAGTTTCGCTACAAGTTAAAACTACTAGCTCATACGTGAGTTAAAAATATCTTTTTGGAGAAACTAATATGAGAGAGCTTCTATAAAGTAGCTCATTTGATAGATTTCATCTTAATATCAATTAAAATTAAGTGAAGTTGTCCAATTGATATATAAATTGCCCTTCCCCCCTCTAGAACTAGGCAATGCCTATCATAATAGGAAAACCAAGAAGATAGACTTTAGGCTCTGATTCCATATTAGATTTCAGCTTAAAACTAATTGATATTAAGTGAAACTGCTCAATAGATATATAAACCGCACCCGGAGAATTGAGACATGTGATGTGAGACTTTCCAAAATGTTTTAGTTAATTTTAACTTATGAAAAACTTATTTCATTTCCTTTTTCTAAAAGTGTTTATGAAGTTTACCCAAAATGACTTTTAATATTATCTTTCTACAAGGATAACGGGGATAGTTCTTTTACCTGTAAGAATATTTTTGTGGCAGATTCTAGTGTCTATTTTGCTTCTATGCTTGTAACAATGAATTTGAGTGAGGTGTAACTAGTTTGTTTGGTGCTTTGGGTTGGGTTAACATTGAATAATATACTCTTTAGTTTATTTGAATATGTATTCTCATGTAGTATGGATAAGAATGTTCAATGGTGAATCATTTGTTGAATGTATTGGGGTATAGTTATTCATGAATATTAGTGAATACTACATTCTGAATCAAGCTTATCAATAGGACTGATCTATTAGCTGATGGAGGATGCCAATCTTCTATCATGTACTCATGTTCAATAATAACAATTGTAAGAATTTGGTAATCTCATACCTTAAGTGTAGGTTCTGCTATAGTATTCATTTCTAGTCAGTGCTTCATTCTCTTCTATAAATTTCTCCAATATAAATTGTCTGTATTGTGTTCTACATGGTTATTAGAACCTTGCAAGTCAATATGATTCAGATATCTTTGAATTTGTATCATAAGATGAATCTAAATAGTTTTGTATCTTATGATACATAAACGAATCTCTGCAATTTTGTATCATACATATAAATCAGATGATTCAAAGATTCATTAATTATTTGTTTACTTTTTCTTCATCAATTCTCATGAAAAAATTGAAAAGTCGTATGGGCTTAATTTTTTAAATAAAAATGAATTGAAGAAGAACTTATGCTATTTGATTATTCTAATACTTTATTTTTCACTCACTCATTCAGTGTTGCACTCCATTTGTTTATTTCATTGCATTGTTTCCATTTGGCTATTTCATTTATTTCATTTCATAAGACTTATTGTTAATTTCTTTTATCTATTCATAGTTTAAAATTATTACAATGAACTCTATATATCATCTATATGATATATTAGAAATAATTTCTCATGTATTTGAATCTTATATTTGATGCAAATTATGATTTATGATTCAAAAATTAGCTTGGCGCTTCACGATTTGAATCTTGATTTAAAAACCTTTTTTGCTATTATTGTTTTATTAGTTGCCCCAAATTTTATATTCACAACTTTCCTGACTAGCACATTAGCATTAAGGTTACTAATAGTGGATAACGGTCTATGGCGGTGAGGCTGAAAATCCTTTATAACTTATGATAGATGTCATGGCGGCCTATGGAGGATAATATATATATATATATATAT